CTTGTTCCTCTAGTCTCCTTCTATACACCTTTACAGTATGCTTCTTCTTTCTTGCCTCTTTCCCTTTCTTTCTCATCTGATATTCCCTTTTAGTTGATGATCCAATTCTATCCTTGTTCCTATCTTAAATTTCGCCCTCTTTGTTGTCCTCTTTATGTCTCGATTTTCTCTTCCCATCTCTACCCATTCTCCTTTATTCTCTGTTCTAAAATTAAAATCTTCCCTCCTCCTCTCTTTCCTCTTTCATATTTTCTATTTCATTTTATTTCTTTTCCGTTATATAATCACTTTCATTTTCTTCGCATCTACTTCCACTTTTCTTTCTGGTATTTTATCCTCTCTCTATTCCCTCGCTCCATCTTTCCTCTTGCCGTATCTTCCCATTGCGCTCCGCCCATCACCCTCTTCTTTTGTTCTTCTTTTAGCACCTCCAATTCATTCCAATAGAAAAGTACGGCTGGTTGCCTAACAGTTATAATTTATTGTTATATTCATTTTAATAATAATAATAATAAATTTATTGCCCAACAGCAAAAGCCAATTATAGGACAACTTAACAATATATATATATATAATAATAACATTTAAATACACTATTAATTAACATCGAGACTAACATTTAAGCACACGCAACAGTAATAATATAATCGAGATTAACATTTAAACACACACAACAGTAATAATACAACAAAGTAAGTAGATATAAAGATATATAAATAAATAAATAAGTATAAGTAGGTCTGTTACAAAACACGGATATAGTTATTAATTAAGGATTTTAACGAACAATTGAAGATATCACAATCAATGTTGATATTATTATAGGCAGCACTCATCACTGCAGTCGGAGACCTTAGCATTAAGTTAGTTCTCGCAAATGGAAGTTGAAACGTGAAGTTATGTCTTCCTTCTATTCGAGGTACAGTCTCTTGTAAAAGTAATGTCCCTCGGATACCTACCACTGTAGCATAGGCAACCAACATCCCAGCCGCCTAGTCCAAGTTGGATTTGCGGGTGTGCGAGGTAGCTATCTAATGCGGTTCATTTTCAGCAGATATTCCCATTTAGCCAAACTAAATACTAGTTAGTAGAATAAAAGTGAATGCCATTGATTTATTAGCTCAAAGGATCTGCGCTGCATATCCTTGGCTTGGTGCAGTAAACATTTTTACATTTCTTACAATTGGTTTGGTGCGTTTTAAATTTGCAAATAGTTTAGCTAGAGACTATTAAGACAAAATAATGGCCTTTCACTTTTTAATTTTTTGAGTAGGTTCTCTTCTAACGAAATAAAGGTGATATTCTTGTCCTTTAATGACATTGAAATTCCAGTGTCATTAATAATTACTTGCGAGTAGGTCTCCTCATGGAATGCGATTAATTGCCCTACAAGTGCACTGTGGAACAATACCTTTCTTTTGTAACTAGCATCAGAAATTAAATGATATGCATTTGTGATACTTGGTCGTGGTTGATTTAATATCGAATTTAGTTTAGGAGAGCTTTTACGTTGCATATTTTTGAGTAGGTAGGCATATTATAAGGATATTTAGTCCAGGTTATAGGTATAATATTTTTTGATAAAAAAATTAGTTACCAGTTAAACCGGCTTTTTCATGCAGGTGAAATGATTAGAAATTAGGGAAAAATAATTAAAACAGCTGAATTTTTCCGCGGGTGCCATCCCGGAGTTTGAAAGGAGTGGGAGGTGGTAGTTACAAAAGGAACGGCATTGTTGCGCTTCCAGTGCAGATAATCGCATTCCATTAGGAGGCCCGAGTAATTAATAATGAGACTTCAATTTCAATGTCGGTATAAAACGACAAAATCATCACATTTATTTTGTTAGAAGAAAATCTACTCGAAAAAATTAAAAGTAAAAGGTCATTATTTTAGCTAAACTATTTCCAAATTTAAAACGCACCAAACCAATTGAAAGAAATGTAAAAATTTCTATTGTATTAAACCAAGGATAGGTTAAAGCAGCGCGGATCTTTTGAGCTAATAAATCGATGCCATTCATTTTCATTCTACTAACTTATTTTTAGTTTGGCAAAGTGGGAATACCTTCTGAAAACGAACCGCATTAGATACCTACCTACCTCCCACACCCGCAAATCCAACTTGGACTAGTCGGCTGGGATGTTGGTTGCCTATGCTACAGTGGTAGGGATCCGAGGGACATTACTTTTACAAGAGACTGTACATTCCTTATAAATGGAAATGTGAACAAACATAACTGCCGGTATTGGGACGATAAAAATCCTCATCTTTTTCGCGAGGGGCATACTCAACGGCCCCAAAAAATTAACGTCTGGGTAGGTATCTTAGGTGATAGCATTATTGGTCCTCTGTTTATCGAAGGAAATTTAACTGGAGATACTTACCTAAACATGCTACAAAATACCGTCGAGCCTCTCATCACTCATGAAATAGAGAATCAAATAAATCCAATTGACGGAAACATGAATTTGATTGAAGATTTCATACATTTTCAACAAGATGGGGCTCCTCCTCATTACTCTATGGCTGTTCGTGAATTTTTAGATGAGAAATTTCCGGGACAGTGGATAGGACGAAGAGGTCCTATAGAATGGCCAGCACGATCTCCAGATCTGACACCATTGGATTTCTTTCTTTGGGGTCATTTAAAATCGGTTGTGTACAAAACTGAACCAGCTTCCATAAATGATCTTCGCTACCGGATAGTCAGGGAGTGCCGTTCACTTTCCAGGGAAGTGTTTAAAAATGTTAGAAATGAATTTGAAAACCGTTTGTGGTATTGTTTAGAACAAAACGGTGAACATTTTAAACATTTTATTAAATAAAAGTTGTTTATTTGCGGAGTTCAAATTTTAGTGTAATAAATTGTGAATGGGCAGTTTAAATGTACCAGTGTATGGTATTTCTGAAAAGCATTTTTTAAGAGCTTTCCAATGATGTATCACAAGTGATACGTCACAATTCAAAATTTAGGCATGGGGGTGGCGGGGGGTACGAGGTTGAAGTTGGTTCCTTCTTTATACGACCATTTTGCTTCCCCCTCGATTCTACCGAAACGGTTTTGGCCATTTTGTGATACCTCTAATATAAAAAACGATATCGCCCATTGAAAGTTTTAAAAGTGTCACCCTGTATAATCACTTTCGAATAGAATATTGTTATTTGCAATAA